TTTTTTTCTTGTAATCAAGTTTTTCTTGTAATAAAGTTTAATGTCTTTGCGTGGGGCATGGTTGCCCATATTGCCCGAGCCAGAGGCTCATAAATCGCAAGACAACACCCACCCATCCCACCGCAGGGGAGGACATCCATCACACAGTAATCTCGTGCGTGGGAAATTAACGTCTCCAACCCCTAACCCTGCCGGAGACGGGACCTCCATTTATTCGTCCCTATCCGAAAAGACTAGTATATCTAAACCATTTCTTGATGTTATAGAAAGGCAGCATATTCTTCTCAATTATTTTAAGACCTTGGGTTTTGGTCCGGCCGGGGCTCGAACCCTCGACCTCCCGCACGTCAGTCCAGCGCTCTATCGATTGAGCTGAACCAGGAGGCGGTAAAGCTAACCGGGAGGCATGAATAAATTTTTTCGGCACCTTCAGCTTCGAAAATGTAAACTCTGTGGATGTGGGAACGCTTTCATAATTCGTTTAAAGTTAGTTTGAGACTTTTAACAGATGTTGATATCTCAAAATCTCACGTTGAGGTCAGCTGCAGCTTAAAAGAAGCGATTTGGTAAAGTTAATCACCATGCATGAGGTTTGTGAGTCGTTTCACCTCTTAACGCCTTGAAAGTAAGCTTTCTAAATCAATCACAAACCCCTTCTATCTAGCGATTAGAGTTACCTGACAGAAAGAGTAAATTTTATTGTTAACAGTAAAAAATTTCAGGTTTACTAATCAAATAGCATAAATTCTTTGTCCGATGGCGTGACATGAATACTTGACCAAACAAACTTCGATTTACATGTCTGGCTCGGTTGCGAGATCTTTCGGTTTCAAGTTCTTCTCGAATATAACATGCACGCCTGTGTTGACGAATTTTCGTTTGACATCCATATATTAAAAGGTGATCATGTAGGTCTTTCGCGTCCCACAGAACTCAACAAGTCGAATTTTTCCCGTTTTAAACGGACATGACGGGCGCTCACAGCCAGTGTTTCGCCTCTCTTCGCCTTGAATAGGTCATTTTACAGTTGTGTACTTAGTTGCCTAGCCTTTGATTTGGAGTGAAGCTGAAGTTGACCTTGTCATGATAGAGACCTGTATCTAGTTAGCATGATAACAAAGTCATTTACATTTGAAAGGCAGCAAGGTTGTGTGCTTGGCAACCAAGCACACAACTGTAAAATGGACTATTTATGCAAGACTTCATATTTAAATATAATCTTATCTTCATTCTTTCCATTGAATCTACGGGATAATACTGTTGAATTCAGTCCCTTTAACGCGTTTTTCTTAAACATTAAAAGCCGCGAAATTTCCCCTTGGAAGGCAAGCTTTTGTGATAGCACAGGGGGCCCATACAATCTGTTTGTGTAGCAGATTCTTATTTTAGAGTGAATGTATCAGATTTACCGTTTGCCCCACCTATAGCGATATATTGCTGACTATGTATATAAACCAATGAGAAATAAATGTTGAATTACCTTACCCGTGACTCAAAAACGATTTTTTTTTTATCGATTTTGAATGAGTTTGAGTTCGTCGTTAATGTAATACATAAAATTGGACGATGTGAAACTATGACCATTTCAAAATATCTAACGAGGGTGGGGAACCATTGGGATTTTGATTTTCTTCGAGGGCTAGCTCCGGTCCGTTCGGATGGAATTTCGATTGGAAGGTACGTGGAGAATCGTGAATCTTTTGACCTTACTGCTGCGAAGTTTGAAAGCGGAGCTATGCGAATTTCGGGGGAAAAAATCGCTCTGGCGCTTGAACCTTTCAAAACAAGGTTTCCACCCTTGTCTTTCTTTTATGTATTACATTAACGACGAACTCAAATTCATTTCAAATCGCTCAAAAAATCATTTTTGAGGCAAAAGGACGACTATACACCACAGGTAAGGTAATACAACGTTTATTTCTCATTGATTTATATGCATAGTCAGCAATATATCGCTATAGGTGAGGCAAGTGGTAAATCTGGTACATTATGAAATAACAATCGGCTACACCAACAGATTATATGGGCCCCCTGTGGTGATAGTTGTAAGGCTCGCTGCCTCGCGCAGCCGCATTGCTTTGGCGCGTAAATTCTGCAATAGTCTTACATGAGGTCTATACAAAATCGGAAATTAGGTTAGCAACATGCTAATTCAACATCGTTTATTTCTTATTTTTATTTCAGAGATTTGTCCAAAAACAATTTTGTTGAAGTTCCTTCCTGTGTACTGAACAAAAGTAAAAGCATCTCTACCTTGTAAGTATTGTAAAATTGGCAAGAATTCAAGAAACCAGTGAAGAGTTCTCTTTGAATGTTCTTGTGAGTAACTGCTGATTCACACTTTTGATGAGGCTGGTTTTTTTTTTTTTTTCTTTTTTCTTTTTTTCTTTTGGTGAATTAAGACTTCTGTTAGTTTTACTACTACTACTACTACTACTACTACTACTACTACTACTACTACTGCTGCTGCTGCTGCTGCTTCTACTACTTCTACTGCTACTACTACTACTACTACTACTACTACTACTACTACTACTACTATTACTACAACTACAACTACAACAACTACATAAACTCTCAGGTTTAAATTTTCTTCTTTGAATATTATGATTAAAGCTAGCACAACTTAATGCTAAGCACATTTTTCGTCAACAGGATTCTCTTAGGAAATAACATTGGTGTCATCGAAGAAGGAACCTTTCCGCTGATGCCAAATCTTCTACGCTTGTGAGTATTGATTTAATATATTTCGGATATCTTTCACTTCCATTCAGTGTTCGTGAGTGCATGCGTTACTTTTAAGCCTGGTGAGACGGTCAGAGAGCGAGCATACTCAGATTCATCATCCAAGTTTTGTTGGAGGTGATATAATTACGAATGTTTAGGTTCTTAAGAGGGAGCATCTTTTAAATAAACAACTGCGAAATCTTGATGCTCATTTCAAAAGATATCGGCTCGCAAATGAGCGCTCTCATGAAGGGAAAATCTCTAATAATCTAACAAGTAATTCTGCAATTGATTGAGTGGGTTAGTGGAAAAAATTAACGCAGATTGCACACTGATGAAACTTAATCACAAGTTTGGCATGGTAAAGCCTCTAGAGTTTTCGAAGATGCTCTGAAGAGCATCCAAAGAACGTAAACATTCTTGATTACATTACAAAGAACGTAAACATTCTTGATTGGACCTAACAAATAACTACCTCAGTAGAAGGTAGTAGAAAAGTTGGATCAAACTGAGGACCAACAGCAGATATTAAAATCCTAAAATAGTGAGAACCAATGTTAAAAATTTCAATGTTAGGATAACTATGCCTCTACCTCTTTGCAGAGACTTGTCTTTTAATGACCTCCGCGAATGGAGAGGAGACATAACTAACACCCTCCCCTCCCTACGGTCAGTAGACCTCACAGGAAACCATATATACTTCCCAGACAATAATCTTTTTGAGGTTCACAAACTCAAAGAGATTAGAGGGATTACATGGAATGTCAATTGCGCCGACTGTACATTGGTTAACACTGAGCTACTGGTCAGCTCAAATGACAGTGACATGGCATGCATAGTGACGCCCGAGGAGTACTTCTTTTCAGGAGAGATTGAATATGGAAGGTCACTCCTCTTCGTAAGACGAGGTTTTTCGCCACAATGCTTATGCGAGTCAGACAGTTGCATCGCGGAAGAAATTTTTATGCCCTATATACTTACACTCAACAAGTTACCGAGAAAGTTATTTTACACTGAGTACATTCTAGGTGCCACTGCAGTTATTTTAAACCTCGTCGTCATGTTCATTTCGTTCGGATGTCGTTCGCTTCGCACGAGCACTTCCTTTCTTTTACTTGGAAATATTGGTGTTTGCGACATCTTTATGGGTGTTTACTCAATCTTAATAGCCAGATACACCGTATACGAATTGATTGTTAACAAGGGCAGCTATACCGGGATGGACGTATTCGTTAATGATTACTGTACGTTAATGGGAGTCATTTTCACAACAGCTCAAATAGTCTCGGTTTCAAGCTCTCTTTTGGCAACGGTAGAGCGTTACTTATCGATAGTACACTGTATGAAACCGGGAGTGAGGTTGAGAAAGACTACTGCACTAAAGTGCCTGGCAGGGATATGGAGCGTTGCCATCGCCTACTCACTTCTGCCAGTTTTCCGAGTCGGTGGTTTGAGATATCATGGAGAATTCACATGCATGATGCCATTTGTGAACGGGCCTGATCAACAGGACACGTCTGAGGCTGGCCTCACTGTTGCTGCTCTGCTTGTTTTGTTTTTTGTCATGAGCATTGCTCTGTACATTCACATCTTTTTCTATGTTATAAAAGCAGGCATCAGTGCCGGTGTAAAGCGAAAGGCTACCTTGGCTAAGAATATTTCAATCATGGTTTTTACAAACTTCATCTTCTTCATATCGCCAATGGTATGCACTTTACTGTTTGTGTACAGGTTTGAACAACTCCAAAAAGCTTTTAAGATAAACACTTTAAGAAGCCTTAAAATTTATTTCATCATGCTCTCCTGGGCTCCGGTTGTGTTTATCAGCCTCAATTCTTGCTTAAACCCTTTCCTGTGCGCATTCAGACATCCAAAATTCCGAAAAGAGGTTAAAAGCTATTTCGAGAAGCTTCAGTGCTCTTTTTTGCGACGATCTCACCACAATTTGCCCCAGGTCTGGACGCTTGCAGCTGCAAAACGACTGGAACTTACCTCAACCGATGCTGTTGTTGGAAATGAAAATGTTAGCTGTGAGACTTACAGATCACTGGAAACTTTAAACTGAATCTGAAGCGGCTGAGGATTTTCCTTATAATTGCCTTAATCATTTTTGGTGACCACTGACCAATGTTTCTTTAATTTCACAGGAGTTGATTGTAACAGTTGTGCATCTTATTATTATCTTATTCAGTAACAGGCCTAGAGAGCACTTAGCACATTGATGTCAGTTGATGCTTCCGAAATAAGTTAGTTCATGATAATTAACAATTATTCCACGAGCGCGGGTTGGATATGAGATGATAGATAGCCAACGAGGCGCGTAGCGCCGAGTTGGCTATAATCATCTCATATCCAACAAGCGCGAGTGGAATAATTGTTTTTTTAAAAACGCCCCCAAGAAATTATTATTTTGTAAGAAGAAACAGGATTTTTTAGCTCCCTTTTGATTTTAAGCTGACGCGTACGCTTACCATATTTGTAGATTATGGTATATTGGCTCATATACCATAATGGCTAAGCCAATAAAAAGTCTTGAATTGCATTATCCAATGATCCAGTTTTTAATAAT